GCCCAGAAGGTGGGCGCTGTTGCTGCTGCTACCTCTTAGACAAGGAAAAACGATTCAAAAGCCAAATAACTCCCTTCCGGATTTCAGCTCAGATGAAGACTTCCTCGCTTGTCCTATGGACCTCAACATCAAGAACTACAAATTGCAAGTTTAATAGGTCATTTTGTATCAAAAGGTCAATTATGAAACATCTAGAATTTTTCAATTATATAACTATTGTCTGGGTTCTGCTGTAGCCCAGGAAAATTTTTTTTCTATTGTGGGTTTTGGTTTTTCCACCCCCCAAAAAAAGTGATTTTATTTGATGTACCCAAATCTTAATAAAAAAGAAAAATCCATAAACTGAAAAAAAAAAAAACCAAAAAAACCCCAATCTTGCTGGTTGAGAGTAAAGAGGACTTGAAGTACTTGCTGTAGAAGATCAAGAAGTACAGCCTATGGATTGCCTCCCAATTTCAAGAAAAGGAAAATCTGGGGTTCTTTTTTGTTGCTGCCCTCTTCTCCCCCAAATAGGCAACATCATGATAGATGGAGAACAGATTGAAGTTAACAATAATTTTGTCTTGCTTGATCCATAATTAAAATCCTTGGTGTTAGTAGTAAATTAAAAAAAGGGGGCAGGAGAGAGAGAGAGACAGAGACAGAGACAGAGACAGAGACAGAGACAGAAACAGAAGGAGAGAGACTTATTGCATTGGGAAAATCAGTTGTTCAGGACCTCTCCAGAATAATAAAAACCACTGACATCAGTTTAAAGACTCAGGTATACCTGATTCAAGTCATGATCTTCTCAATTACTTATGATGTATTTCAAAGTTGAACAATGACTAAGGATGACAGAAGAATCGATGTCTTTGAGTTGTGGTATTGGAGAAGATGGCCAAAAACCAAACAAGTCTGTCTTGGAGAAAGTGAAAACAGAAATGAAGATGGTGAAGCTCCATTTCACATACTTTAGGTATGTTGTTAGAACGGGTCAGTTATTGGAGAATGACATCACATCATGTTTAGAAAGGTGGAGAGTAAATATAGAAAAGGATGATCTTCAATGAGATGGAATGACACGTAATTGTAGTGATAGACTGAGTGTGCATACACACACACACACACACACACACACACACGTTTTTTTCCAGCAAATTATAATACAGGAATAATAACTCTAGATGGAGGCATATGATTTTAAGATATTTTTGAGTTGTAATTTTTAATTTAATTGTTAACTTACAATAACACTTCTATTTTTTTCACTTGTTTGAAGAAAATAAAATCTTCCTTGTAACATCCATGAAGGCTAGCTTGACTTGTTGATTCCTTAGGCTGTAAATATAAGGATTCAGCATGGGGGCTACTGAGGTGTTTAACACAGCTACACCCTTGCTCAAAGACACCCTGTCTTTTGCTGATGGATTAATGTACATAAAAATGCAGCTGCCATAAGAAATGGATATGACAATCATGTGTGAAGAACAAGTGGAAAAGGCCTTTGTCCTTTGACTAGTAGAAGGAATTTTCAAAATTGTTCTGATGATGTATATGTACGACATAATTATTAATGCTAAAGTGAACATTAAAGTAAAAACAGCACAGGAAAATCCTGCTAACTCTAGGAACTTTGTGTCTGAGCAAGAAAGGTGTAATAATGGGAAGTAATCGCAGGTAAAGTGGTCAATAACATTAGACCTACAGTAGTCAAGCCGGATGAATAGCATGAGTGATGGGAATATGATTAAGAATGAAGCTAGCCAAGATAAAAAGACAAGCAGTATGCACACTCGATTATTCATGATGGTCATATAATGCAAGGGTTTGCAGATGGCCACATAGCGGTCATAGGACATGGCAGCCAGAAGGTAAAATTCAGTTACTCCCAGGAGAATGAAGAAAAATAACTGAGCCATGCAATCACTAAAGGAAATAGTTTTATCTCCTGTAATAATGGTGCTCAAGAACTTGGGTATACTGACAGTGGTGAATGAAACTTCTAATAAGGAGAAATTCCTTAGGAAGAAATACATGGGGGTCTGGAGGTGGGGATCCAACAGAGTCAAGGTGATAATGGTCAGGTTCCCAGTGATGCTGAGCACGTAGGTAATGAGCAGAAAAACAAAAATCACTACCTGAAACTTCGGATCATCTGACAATCCCAAGAGGATAAACTCTGTTACTTCTGTAGAGTTTTTCATTTTGTTATTTTTTATTCTTGTATGAAATCTGTAGAAGAAAATGCAAAGAATACAATATGTATAATATAAAAAATCAAATGTGGCAATGAGTGACTCTAAAATTTTAAAACTGCTGTGGAGTTAAATTTACACTGTAGCTCTCAATTATGTTTTTTAATCTTTTCTCCCCATCTGAAGCAGATCACTGTAGTTAATGTTCTATTATTAAAGATAAGAAAGGCATCTGAGTATAAGTACAGAACAGTTAAGATTTGTATGTGAAGGAAA